TAATGCTATTAGGTTTATATTTATTCTGAATTGAAAAGAAAATTGTGGTTGTCTTGACTACTAAAAAAAACCCCATCCTACACACCGCTTGAGGGATGTGCAGCGGCGAGGAGGGGGTTTAGCTGTGCTCAGCTCGTGTTGTTTTCCTACTGCAAATTTTGAAACGGGTTCAGCTGCGGAGGCAAAGTTCCTCCTGCCCGAGTTGTAGTTCCCTACTCGGGCTCAGTGCACCGGGACCGTGATGCATTTTTATTTAATTCTTTCCAAACTCAACTTGATGCACGGCTAAAAATGTGTTTTTTTTTCTAGGCAATAGTATATGAAGGCCAAGACAAGAACCCAGAAATGTGCCGAGTTCTGCTCACGCATGAGATAATGTGCAGGTAAGAAATACCCCGCTTCCAGTTAATTAGTGATGAGATGATGAATTTTGTGTCTCAAAATCTAGGTTGAACCTGTAGCTATTTTAGGATTTAAATTTATCTTTCTTGCATTTAACAAGCCCAAAATAACACATTTCTGTGTGTGTAATTAGCAGCAAGGTCTTGTCACACCGGTTTTCAATTATTTATAAAGAGTGATTCTTAACGGAGCGCTGCTGGTTTGCATTTAAACGCTGCAGCCCAGAAGAGGTCTCCTCACCGAAATTAATAAAGTCAATTATAGTCTTTCTAGCAATAAATGTCACTGCTCCCACCCTCTGCGATAACTTCCCTAGTAAAAAAAGATAAAATGGCCATTTTTGGATTTGCTGGACGTGTGTTTGGACTTGAAATTGGGAGCCCCTTTTTTTTCCTTCCCCTTTCCTCCAGTTTGACTTTGCTCGAGCTGTTTGTGCACATGGCCTGTGCGCAGCCAGCACTCCCCCTCCATGCAAAAGTTGTCTTTTAGTTGATTTTTCTTCAAACTTCCCCTATGCAAACTTCTCCTCACGCTCTTTTCCCTTGACCATTCCTGCCTGGTGCTGGTCACTGAAATACAGTGCGATCAAATATCTCCTGTCCCTAACACGGCACTTTTGCAGTGAGCAGCCGCTTCCTTCTCTTTTCTATCCGGTAGCAATACGTGAAGCCTCTGCTACTTCYCTCTTCTTGCAGAGAAGTCAGCATCTTCTCCCAGGGCCCTGCAACACCTATGCAAGCTTGACCTTGCAGTCTCGTTAAAGTTGGTGGGTGTTTTTCCATGTTGGAAAAATTCATTTGTTACATGTTATTTGATGGCAGAAAAKAACTCCCTGGTGGAGCGCCGGGCATTCTTGCATAAGCTCATTGTTATAATCAAGTTGTTTTAAGACTGTAAAAATGCCATTGCATGCGTTGTAACTTTTACAAAACATATTTACTAAAAAAAAGGAGTAACTCGAGGGTGAAAACTAGTCTCCACTTCTAAGAGAAGGAACTTGGATGAGAGTTTCCTGGTGGCAGAGTCTTAGACAAAGCATTTGCATGGAATATTCTCTGCTGGTTGATTTATTTTATTTTTTTCCCCACCCTTCTTGGGGATCTGCTTGCTCTACCCCCAGTGGCAGGTCCTTGATGACAAACCTAGATTAGGTTTTTCTGGGAAAACCAAAGACACAGCCTGTTACGGCATGAGCACTGCTAGAGCAGGCAAGTAGCTCCAAGAGGCACCCAAATAAATTCCCGCTGCTGTTGGGASCTGAGAGAGGCTTTGCTAAGGGCCTCCAGCCTCTTCATCCTTTCCAAATGGAAGCCCAAGTCATGCTGACAACCCATGATTGCCCGAAAATTCATTGGCCCAATTAGCACTGCTTTCAAACCAGACAGTCCGCTTGGAACAATTCGTGGAAATATTAAAGGAGGCCCCTGACCTGATAAGGCTGAAGTGCAGCTTTGCTTCATTCCTCTAAGTAGACCAGTGGCACAGTGCAGGCTGCTCATGTGAGCAAGAAGCAGCACATGCTGAAGTGCCTATGGCAACAGGGTCTAAATCTGCTCACTGTTGGGCCTGGAAGAKGCACCTTACTGCATCTCAAAATGCAAGGTTTTGAGGTAGGGATTATATCTACCTGCAACTCTGTGCAAGTTAGTCAGAATTGTAGCTTTTTGGGGGCACCAGCAATACTGCAAAGCAGATGGTACCAGTCCTGCAGCCAGGACCTGGCCARGGGGCTGAGAAAGCCAACAGGAGCCCCTTGAGCAGCAGCAAAACCTCACTCCGAAATGTGTGTGAAAAAGCTTCGTGCTCCTCCAGCCAATACCAAAGGCCTCTTGTTCGACTGCCTGCACAACAGCAAGAATCGTATACTTTGATGCATTAATTTTCTTACAAATGCTTTGGGAACATAAAGAGTAATAAATAAATTGCAACTTATATATAGGGTTGAGTTTTAACTGAAAGACCAAATATCTGCATCAAAGATTTACAGCCTTGTCAATATACTTTGACTGAGATAAAATTATTTCCATTCTGGGAATGCTGAAAGATGTGCTATGTCATTCCGGAGCAGTCTCTCTCTTTATTAAAGCAGTTTACACTTTCTTCGTTCTTAAAATTCATTGCATCAAGAGCTTTCTTCTTCTTGTATTTGTTTACTGCTAGTCGCTGCTTTGGGCTTCATAAATATAAGTTAGAGAGGTAGCAAAAAAACAGAAACAAAACAAAACAAAAACGAAAGAAAGAGAGAGAGAGAGAGAGAGAGAGAGAGAGAGAGAGAGAGAGAGAGAGAGAATCTGACCATGGTGGGTAAATGTTGTGCATATGATGGAGTGGTGGAGGCATATTCAAATTTCTTACAGCTTATATTAGAAATTACCAATTTCCCCGTCTGCCCATACATTTGTAAGAGGGTGCTGTTTGTTTACCAGGCCGCTTGACCCTATTGCACAAATCTGTCATCTATTGTGCTGCTAACTCTCTTTTAAATTGCAAATCTGATGCTCTTTAGGGGTCTGGAAGGAAAAAAAAAATCTCTCTCCACACCATTCTGTTTCTCTTGATTTCTTGCCTGTTGTAAGTGGAAGTTGGGATGTGCTGAATTTGCACCAGGGGTGCAAATGCAGCCTCAATTATAAGCATAAAATTAGAGTCTGTTCCCCATTAATCAGCCCAGCTAATTGCTATGCACTACCATTAGCCATATGGTGTGAAAGACAGCTTGCTCTCCCTAAGATGAAATTTCTTCATTTCAGACATGAAATAGTGAGGCCTCTGTATTTTAAAATAGCTTGTTTTAGATATTTAATTTCTAAACAACTTTCAGCAGTGCTTTCTATCAAGGCTAACTGCACAATAAAACTTTGCATTTATGTGACAAATCTGTGTRTTTATAGCGTGCTACAGCCCCGGCAGGGATAAGACAAAGAATCCGAATGCATAGGAGAGGTCTGGCTATGGCAGCCGAGTGGGACCGGACTCGGATTCAGGTGGCTGTTTGTGCTGGATTTCACTGTACTTTGTCAAATTTTAAATCCCTACTTCTACCAAAAAAAAAAAAAAAAAAGTTACTAGCTGGGAAGAATTCCCCACCCCGGTGGAATTTATTAGCCTGGTAGGCAGCACGGGGAGGGACATCTATAGTTAATAATGCCTCAACAATTTCCATTATGAAACCTTCAGTGGCTTAGAGCTTTGCCAAACTTAAACTGTTCTGGCTGAGGCGTCCTTTGCAGGGTGTCAGCCTCGGGCTGACTTTCTTTGGAAAGTTTCAGCAAAAACGGTTCAGCGATTTCTGAGAATGAGGTCGGGGTAAAGCTCGGCTTGTGCTGCGTGCAGGAGGGAGCCCGGCCGACGGTCCCACTGCGAAGGCCTCGCGCRCCGGTGCCGGCGGCCGCGGGGCGATGGCGCCCAGTGCAGGCCTCGCCGTGTCGCCAAGGAGGCCGCGTCGCCAAGGCGGCTTCCAGCATGGCTGCCGAGGGATGGGGAAGCTGCCCTGGCGCTGGCCACGTGCCACTGCTCCTGCGCAAAAGACCCCGTTCCTCATTGTTCGCTGTCCCCGTGGAAAGGCCGGGCGGGCRAGGAGGGAGCTCTGCTACGTGGCGCGACTGCTCCTGCTTCCGTCCTGGGAAGAGCCAGGCAGGAGAAGTCAGGCATGAGCCATGCCAGCAAAGGGCAGGAGCTGGCTGGGACGAGGAGTACAAAGGGAGGCAGGAGCAGTACATCCCAGTCTCGGGAATGCYGCTGAGGGCCAGGAAGGGGGTGGCACCAGCCCCAGGATGAGCCAGGCAGGCTAAGGCTGCAGTGCTTGCCCCTCTCACTTCCCAGCAGCCAGAGGATTCTCAAATGACTTGGAAAAGCTTCTGGGAAGCCTYGTGCTCCTCCAGGGAAGGTGGAGGGGTGCTGTCCCCTCAGGAGCTTTCTCCCAGGGAAAAGTGTGGAGCCGAGCACAATGCTCCCTGTGTCACGCAGCCCGCTCCCGGGCTGAGGCTTTCTGGGGGGTCCCAGAGCAGCAACGCTGCACAGAAAAACTAGAGGGAGGCATGGCCTAAACTTCTAGCCTGGGAAAATGCTAACCGAGCAAGCTTAGGTTTTYTCTCTTAAAGAAAATAGACGGAGAGGGGACAGTTGGGGCCTTCTTCTCCATCGCAGGGCAGCCCAACACAGCACCGTCRTGCTTCTCTCTGCCACCTCAGAGGACAGCGAGCTCTTTTGCTCTCATTCAGGCTTTCTGGGACTGATTCCTGGTAAGCCCAGCTCAACCTGAGCCTCCTCCCTGAGCCGGGTGACACCAGTGACTCGATCCCACTGGATCCAGGAGCGAAGCGTCTCCATCCTCATGCCGGGAAGGTGCCGGCCCCGGGCGGTGGTGACCGGCCCAAAGCCTGGGAAGCTCCGACGGCCACGTCCCTAGGGCCGCCTGTGGGAATGCTGGGGACCGGCGCGGATCCGCAGCAGTCACAAGCACGGCATTGTCTTAACTCCTGCCAACTCTGTTTCTCATTACGTTTTAATCATTTAGAAATGATTAGCAGTTTTTATTGCCTTGTTTGTGGGTAAATTTTCTCACCCCACACGTTCGAGCTGCGCTCCAACGACGAGGCCTTTTATAGGCAAAAAAAAAAGGCGCCCCCCCCAAACGCTCATGCGACTGCTTACCTACAGCGTGTTTTATTCCTTCCTAAATTTTAGTGCTTTCTGGGTGCCAAGGCTCTTGCATTTTTGGGTGAATCAATTGTGGTATTGTGCTGTAAAATTAAGCAGTTTTTTTTGGCAATCCTGAACAATGTAACTTCCACCGAAATGAAGATACCGCACATGTGTTAACTGTGAAAGCAGGAGCCCTGAATCGTTGCCTTGAAGCTTTTTGAGCTTTTTGCACTGCAAAGAATTATGTATTTTCCCCTCTTTGAAATAAATCCTTTTTTTTTTTTTTTTTTTTTGAAACCATGTTTAAGCGGGCTGTTTTTGTAAAAGGCCCATTTTTTGTTATCTTTAGTGTGGTTAGTTGCTTTATTGGTAATCTTGGTGGGTAACTGTATATTATTCACTCTATTGTTCAGCAGCACAAGAGAACCTTTGTCAGGCTCCCGCGAGGACTATTTATCTAGCACGGCGTTCCTGGGGACCCTTCCTGCTCTGGGTCCTTCCACCTCCGGGGGGAAAGAAAATAGTCCTTGTGTGAGGCAGCACCATGCCCATTGCTTCTACCACTCGCCCCAAGTTGGCTGCTGCAATAAGAATCACGCTGTTTTTTTTCGCAACACCTTTCAAAGCCAGTGTGGTGGCTACCAAAGGCTTGATTGCCCGAGGATGAGGTTGGCCAAAATGTGTTGCAAGAGAGAGCACAGCAAGCAAACGAGAGTCCCTCTCGCTGGTGCCACCCATGATGTGGTCCCTGTGTGCAGGATCCCTCGGGCTCTTGGTCTGTAGAAGATGCCAAGAAAGACCATAGGGATCCAGAAGGACTTATGAGGATGTGGAGCTTTTTGGGTTTTCATCTTTTTGCTTAGAGCCTTCCTGTCAGTGGGAGATTTTCTGTGAAGCTGTAGGATAGCAGCTTTCTCTGCTACGTGGGCTTTGACACTCAGGCTCACCTGAGGCTTCCTAATTCACTCTCATGGGCTTCAGCTGGGTGATGAGGGCTGGGTGGGCCTGCCCCAACACACCCCACCTGTGACTCCAACCAGGCAAACCTGGGTGATTCATACCCAGTGCAGCAACAAGTACGTGGCTCCTGAGCTTATATATAGTGTGTCTGTGAGGTTAGCTCTTGATGAGCCCTAATGCCTTGGTGGGGACATCATCATGGACAGTGATTAGCCTCACTTTGGGAATGAGGAGCTGTCTTGATCCAGAAGGATCCCGGTCTGGAGGTCAGTGAGGAGCAGGACTTTGGCAGCTTGTGTTTCCAYACTGCTGTGCACCCAACCTGATCTGGCATGGGGTAGCAGCCCCAGAGCTSTGCTCACCATAGCATTAACATCCTTGGAAAACTCACAGAAATAGCTATGCTAGAGCATAAGATGTGCTGCTAGTGGCCTTGGCATTTTAGCTTCCCTTCTTAGCAGCCCTGTCTTGCAGAGGGAATGTGGTTGTGATTTCAGGTCTAGGGGAAGCTTCTCTGTGGCTGAGCACCCAGCTCTGTGCTGAAAGCAGGACCGTTGTGTGGCCACACACCAGAGCTTGGTGATGGATGAGCTGCCTGGTCCTACATGGACGTGGGGCTACAATGGGCRGCTCTCCCCATTTCAGACAATCCTCAAATTATTATTTGTGAAAGGAGCAAAGCCCCTTTCTTTTTATATTTTCTGTTACTAACCAGCTGTGCAAGAAGTTAAACACAGTAATTAACCCATATGTGACCCACTGCGTTTGACTGATTTGCAGGCAGGGACAGAAGGGTAACTCTAGCTGGCAATTTGAACCTAGCGTGTTCGTAATGATGATTTTACAGTGTAATGGTCGCACTAAATCCTTTCACTTTTGCTCTGTAGCCGCTGTTGTGACAAGAAAAGCTGTGGCAACAGAAATGAGACTCCATCAGATCCAGTGATAATTGACAGGTAAGGACTGCTATTGTTTCCTTCAATGTTTATGTATATATATATATATTTTTTTCTTCCTCATTATACTGAAACACCTGCCCTGTGTTGCTAATGGGGAAGAATTAGGAGTGTCTGCGGTTGAAATTTTGTTTTTGATACCAGATTAGTTGTGCTTTGCAATCGTGATTGCCGTGCAAGGGCCATATGGGATATAACGGAGCGACCTGCTCTCTGGAAGGCYCCGCTTCTCCTAGCTGATTCATGTGCAGCACGAGGATATTTTTCTTTCTGGCTTTCTGTGGCTCAATTCACATGCTGTGCCAGGGAAGCTTCAGGAATAAAATAATAATAGTTTRTGATTTATGAAATGTGGTTGGGTGCTTATAAATATTTAACTTTTATTTGAAAAATGTTTGAATCATTATCACTTTTAGCTACAGTAGTTCTGTTGGATGCAATCCATCTACATTTTACGGGTTTTATTTATGCATAAAACAGTTTAAAAAAATAGGTTTGCAAACTAAGGTTTTTCCTCCTGTTATTTTCTTTGCTTGGAATACTATTTTGACTATATTGTCAGTTGATTAATTCATTTTTGCCTGCCTTAATTATCATATTTTTAAACAGACCCATATAACTAATCTGACATCACCAGGTAAATTATTGCAGTACAGTGTATTTTAGCTACTCTGAGCAACATGTAGCAAGGTTCCGTGCTCTCAATTATGCAAAGCGGCAGCCAAATAGTGATTTTTATATTTTAATTGTTGAAACTCTTTGCACAAAGCTATGTGTGATAACCAGGCTATTATGTTGCTTTACTCTGTAAGAGGTTAAATGGCCAGGAAGGACTGAAACTGTCTGTCATCAGCTAGGGAAAGCAAAACCCTTGCTCTAATCTGCGAGCRGAGTGACCCTGCAAGGAAACTACCTATGCAGAAAGGAGCTAGAGGATAGTGTGGAGTGTTGCTCCTCCTGGTATTGTCCGAGTTAATGTTTGCTATATTAAGCACAAAATACTTCTGTGCAGGATGTCTGTTTTTATGGAAAAAGAAGATGAAGGTGGGGGTTCGTGTGTTCACATCAAAAGTGAATTACAGGGCGCGAGTATCGCAGTGCCAGGCAAGCCTCGGTGCTTATGTCGCCTCCCAGATTTATAGTTCTTGTTCGAATTTGTTAAGAAAGTGCGTATATTGAGAGCTTATAGCAGATGTTTTGATTAGCTATAATAACTAATCCCGCAAACGTTTAAATCTCAGAAGACAGATATATGTATTCTAAGTAGGTGAATTTTCATTTCTGCGTGTGTTTGGTAGTACCAGGGAAGGTGGGAAGAGAAGAAAAATAAAAGCTAGTGAAATCTGTATAGAGACATGTTTTATAAGCGTGCTGCAGAGTTGAACACTATAAACACAGTGTTGGAGTGGCATTTTGAGAGACATGAAAGCCACAAAATTCACATGAATTTTTCATTGTACTGAAAAGTGAGATGTTAAGATGCTAATGGCAGGTTTAGGGAAATATTTTGTTTAACCATCTAGTATGCAAAACTGAGTTGCAAATCATTTTAAATTATGAAAGCCAGGGATGCTGCCTGTTACATGCTTTCTACAAAGCGAGCAAAACAGTTACATGGAAAAACCAGATTTAGCTTCCTAGTAGTGATCAAATTATCAGTATTTATGCGAATTGAGGCAAAATGTAACAATTCTGAAGATTATATTTAAAATACTAGCCAAACATAATTTGAAGATTATGATATAAGCCTCTTACCTCCCCGCCCGTGCTAAATCACATTTTGCTTGTGAATGGGTTAAGCTTTTAAGTTCTTTGCAGGGTTTTAAATGGTGACTTTGATATCGAAGGTTGATATGACTGTGGTTTGAATAACATCTGATTTTGACCTGTTCCTGTGGGCTGCAGTGGTATAAGAAATTTGACTCAGCAGTACTGTAATTAGCCCTCCCTGTGTTTTTGAAACAGGATTGTGTTACCTGCGCTGCATTAGTGTGGCTTCTATTGTTGCCGCTTCGCATCTGTCCCAGTAGGGTACTTAAAACCTTTTCTTGGCCAGGGCTAGTTCAAACAGTTTAGGCCAAATAAGTATGTGCTTTCTGCAGCTAGTGGCTTTAGTGATGTTTCTTGTGACATTTATCCTATTCCTTTTTTCCCCTCTTGCTTTGGAAAGGATAAAGTGATCTATATGGAGCTTTTTTTTTGCCTTAAAATGAATCCTTTAAGATGGTTTAGAACATTAAAATGCCTGCACAAGCCAGAACATATGTTTAGTTGCCTGCTATTGTCACTTCTGCATGTGTGCGATTTTAAACTATTATGTCAATTGATATGCAAAACCATATTTAGCTCTTTTTATTTGCATATGAGCTTACAGAATTCATTTACCATTTGGGTTAAAGCACTCCCTCATGCCGTATAGTCTGATGGTAGTCTTGCCTATGGATTTAATAAAACTCTTACATCGAAGCCCATGAATCTAAAGAATCTGATTTAACATAGAATCTATCTGTGGGATTTTTGACATATGGACTTACATGGAAATGCTACCCTCCTCTTACACGCTGGAATACTATTTTGGATTGATTAATTCTCTTTGATGCTGGAGATACTTGGGATGGAGAGAGCTCAGCCTTTGTGGTGGTTTAGATAACTTGGTGAAGATGCTGTTTCACAACTTCAAAGTCATGTCTGTGGTGTCCTTTTTCAAACCCTAGATATATGTGTGAAAAATAAACTGTATATTTTGTTTAATCGAAATGTGGGACTCAGAAAAAAGAAAAATCTGTGGGCACATTTGAAACAGGATATGACTTTATTCTTTATAAAAAGTACTTTGCTCTGTTGTAGTATCAGCAGATGTAGTGATGAGAAGGTCCTAAAGGAATTTATGCGCATCTAGTGATCTGAATTGGGAAACAGTAAAGCTACTACACTGGTAGAACAGTAATTTTGGGGAAGTTTCTTGGAAACCTGTGTGTGTCTGTGTCATCATCTTAGCATAGCCCGTGTATTTTATCACTAATCCAGTTACATGTGTTCAGATGAAGCTCTGATGAACAGGAACTCATTTTCAAGGGGTTTTATTGTCACAATACAAATGCACAATTTGTCCTCCAAGTACAGTAGCTGGGTTGTATTGTAATCATACTCAGAGGAAACAGAGCACTTCCTGTTATTAAATTAAATTCTAGATTGATTTAACATTCAAATTGTAACTCTTATTTGAATTTAAAAGGTTTGCAATAAAATTCCTGTGAAGAAATTGAATAAATTGTAGTTTTATTACCACTCTGGATATCCCAGTGTCCTAACCTTTTTCCTTACAGTTATCTTAGTTCAATAAATAAAACCTCATTAGACTATTCCCATTTCAATGAGTTTATTAAATTTTACAGGAGTAATTAGCATAAGCTGTGCTAATTTTTCTGGAAGACTAATGAGAGAGCTTCCTAATTAGGTTTGCTTTGTAAGAATCAGAAAAGATGATAATGACAAAAGTCACATAGGGGAGAAAGTAGAGCTTTATGTCATTCCTGGGTTCAGGAAAGAGGCTTCTCTCTTGGCATTCTTTTCCAAACTTTTAAACTCTATTTCCCACTGTAGAGACCAGTATTTAATGATATGATTGGTACCTGCATGATTTCTTTWCCTTTTATGGTTGGATCCAACACTGAAATAGTAGTCTTGTCGACTGATAAAATAGAAATAATCTATTTTAGATAGAAATAGAAATAATCATGGCAATTCCAAATAGTGGTAGACAAACTCTCAGTGTGAAGGATCATGTTCTGTTGACCGATCTGTGCTCTGCAACTCCATGGTTTGATGTTGGGTATTGCCAGTTTGGTAGAGGACCTGTTGGTATAGCAGAATGGGGAATGCRTGGACTGGACCACAATAACATTTTCCATATTATCAGTCTTCACAAAGGTTTTAACGCTCTGAAGCATTAGAAAAGCCCATGTGACCCTCCATCAGGCTGTTTCGACACCTGCCATATAGGATATACCACTGGTTGCTCTCCTGCATGTTTGTGGTGCTCCCAGACAACATGGTTATGGAGGGAACTGACTTGCCTATGCATGTTTTTGAAATCTTTCAATTTTTAAGCTGAAAAATGTTGTGATTGTGGGTAGGATTTCACTTTACACTGACATGAGGAGTGGSTGACTGTCTCCATTTTGCTGCTCTGCAAGTGGCCAGGTAGTGGGTTGTATTTTAAGGGCCTTCTCCTCATCTTGTCCTAAATACCAGGCAGGTGGCAAAATGGCAGAGACTGTCACACGTGCTCCCTGCTCCCCTGGATATGCTCGTTGGGGAGATGCAACAGTGACTGTGACTTGCAGTAGCKCTCCTTCCCGAAAGGGAAAGTAAGGGAAAAGCAGGAGGTTATGGTAAAGGAGRCCAGCTTCTAGAAGACTTTTGGGTACTTTTATTTGGGGAAAAGTTTGAGAGAAAGAGGGCACTTTGCTTGGGAGGAAGCTGCCCAAGCTGCTTTGCTGCAGGGAAGGGATGTGTGTTGGCAGCTGAGCCCTGGCTAGGCTGCAGGGCCACTGCTTTGTCACAGCCGGGTCGCAGCAAAGTGCCAGGAGGTGCCAGGAGCTTTGGCAGGTGGTGCCAAACAGATGTGAGCAAAAACTGGCGGGAGGGCTGCTGTGAGCTCCATCCCTCGGCCTTGGGCCGAGTCCCTTGGTCCCCCTGGCCCTACATGAGGGGTGAGCCAGGCTGTGCTGCCCCAGGTGATGTGCTGCATCAGCCAGGGATGTGCTGCAGATCCCAACCACCTGCAGCCAATGTACTTTTTGCCTGCAGAAGGGCAGGCACAAGTCCCTCTGTGGTAGACATCAAGATGTAGATGGGGAACTCATGTGGACCTGAATATTTGGATGTTCTCTTGACCTTGGTACTGTAAAGTGCTCGCCTCATTGCTCTGCCCTTTTCAAGGGGGGCTGGGGTGTAGATAATAGGGCACTAGAAAACACCCCCTAGCACCCAAAAGG